CCTAGAGCTAAGGGCTGTGCAGGCTTCCAGAAGCTGCCACGTTCCTTCACCCATGGCTTCCTTTCTTTACCTTCAAAGCCATCAACATGGCGTCCAATTCTCACTCATGCCTGACCCACCTTCTGCTTCCCTGTTCTATTATAGTACATTCTATATAGATATATATTAAAGATAATAAATATATCATGAGAACAAATCTTTGCCTATTGCCCAGGCAAGAGGAAGTCCGTGCGTCACCTAGACTCACAGCAACCTCAAAACTCTTGGGCTCAAGCATTCGCGCCTGCCAGCCTCCCAGTAGCTGGACTACAGGCACACGCCACCATGCCGCTCATTTTTTCTATAATATTAGTTGGCCAATTAATTTTCTTTATCTTATATAGAGACAGTCTTCGCGCTCTTCCTCAGGCTGAGTTCGAACTCCGGACCTCCAGCAATCTGCCCGCCTCGCCTCCCCCAGAGTGCTAGGATTACAGGCGTGAGCCACCGACCGCCGCTCATTATACTTTAAGGGCTCATGACATGAGCTTGAACACACTCGAATAATCTATGAAATAATCCAGGAATCTCCCATTAAGCACACTGCAAATTCCTTTGTGTTCACGTGAAACAACTAATCATAGCTTTTGAGGATTAGGATGTGGATATATTTGGGGAGTCATCATCCTGGCTACCACAGCGACTTTGACAAATTACCTAACTACTCTAAAAGGGTAGAATAAACTACTTTAAAAGGAGTGTGGCATGATGCTTTTACGTTTTTGTTTTGTCATTGCATTCCATCCTTCCCATTCTAAGAAGGCAGCCAAGAGCATAACCTCCCTTAGAATGCCTGAAGCCAGCTTTTCTTCTCGGTTTTTGTTTTCAGGATCCTGACCCTGCAGGAGACTATAGCAGGAGACTATAGTACAGGAGAAGATGGTATCACAGCAAACCATGCTCTCTGCCTGTATCTGCAAATGGAACAATAAACGTGGTGTGCATATATGTATGTGTGTGTGTGGTGTACATATACATATTTTGACTGAATCCAAACTTTATAGAACAAATCCTTCTAATAAAGGGATTTGTTCTGCGGAGTTTGGATTCGCGAGGGCCACACTCAGATCTGAGGCCACATGTGGCCTTGAGGCCCCAGGTTCCCCAACCCTGGATGGAGAAGAAATAGGGGAAGGCATTGAGCACTCTGCTTCCTTCACCGACTATATCATTAATAGCGACTCTGATTTTGTAACTGTGTAAATGTACAGCCACAAAAACAAGAACCAAAGTCCATATGCGAAAGTGAAAACAGTCGCTGTGCAGAGATGCAGGGCTTTGGGTCACAGTTTTCTTTTTTTTTTAATTTCATTTGATGTTTTTTATTTTTTGATGACAAACAAGGACACAAGAAGAAGTATTCTATTCCCTTTTCAAATGTCTTTCGGGGTGGTTTTTGACTAAATACGTGCCTTCCATCCCTGTCCCCACCAGCTTCCAAGATGCTCCAAGCCCCTTTGCTTTCAAAGCCTGGGGACACAGAGGGTGGCACTCGCTTCTAGCAAAGACAGAAGTTTGATAGAACAACTGGAAGATGCTCCAGGGCCCCTTCAGGGTAAAGAGCTGCCGCCTTCTGTAGATTTATGACTTCTGGCCCAGGGGACACTGAGGGCACTGGAAGAGTCTTGACATTGTGTTTGGCCTTGGGCTCTGATTCAAAGGCTGCAGCCTCCAAGGCCCTGGCCCTTCCCACCCTGAAAGACAGAGCGCTGACTCCAGACGCTTGCAACTCTCATTTGATGTCTTCAGATGCACTGGCTTGGTGCAAGGCGTTATTTCTCCGGAGCAGGGCTTCCCTGCCCTGTAGCCTCTCCAGACAGGAGTGGGCCATAAACTATTCCAGCTGCTAAACTCATAACTAGATCAAGGAGAGAAGCCAGGAATGGCGGGCTGATTTTATACCTTCGCACCGTCTCTCCAGTCTATCAACCGGTAGAGCCAACAAGTATCAGCGCCCCTGACATACATCAGAAGCCACGGCCTATAAACAGGGGACGGAATGGAATCAGAGAGACGTCTTCAGTTTCGCTCTGCAGATATAAGGCCACGCTTACAGAGGGAGAAAACTTAACCCTGTAGCTACATGGGCTGCTCCCTTCAGCCAAAGCCTCAGGACAGCATCAGGGCCCTACTTCTCGAAGCAGAGATGCTGCGCGTGCTTGTGCAGGCTGCTTAGGCACGAGGGGGCAAGGCCAAGAGCAGCAAGGGGGTGGCCTCCAGCACGAGGCTACGCCCCAGTCATGTCCTTGGCCCAGGTGATGCAGGGGGCGTCCCCAGGAAGGGAGGAAAGACCCCTGAACTCGTCAAGTGGGTTCTCGGCTTCATGGGGGAAAGAATTCGAGTGTGAGACAACTAGCAACAGGAAGTTTGTTGAGATAGGGGTAGACAACAGACTCCACTGCACAGACAGAGTAGGGGTCCTCTCCCAAGCTGGAGGGGGACCCCTCATGGGGCAATAGTAATGCTTTTAAATATTCAAAACCCCACTGGGAAACAGCTAGCCGTATGTGACCAGCCCCTTCTTGAGATCAAGCCATAAACTGCTGTCACAGAAAAGTAAGCACAGTTTGGAAGGCATCCGCCTAGTAATTCATCCATCCTCAGGTGGTCCCGGGCTGGCCACTTTCTCTCGTTCAGGGTGGGTCGGGTCCGGTGTCAATCAAAATGGCCACACTCAGGCTCTCCCAGCTTCCTTGCCTGCCTTAACCCTAGATTACAGGGACAGCGGCGTGGGGAAAGAAGCACTATTCTCATGATGGCATGATCCGCTCCCCAAGCCACACTGCCAAGGGGCTGTGCCTGCCCTTGGGGTACGTTTTTCTAAATTTGCACAAGACACTGTGTGTGTTCTCCCAATGTCCCCTACCTGAGCAAACTGAGAAAGTCACCCTGCAGGTGCATTAGTGTCCTGTGTCTGAATAGCACAGTTTACCTGCCTTTAAACTACCTCGACCTTCCAGGTAAGGGAACCTAGCATTTTATGTTATTTCCTTACAAAAGTTCTTTAGATGCTGACAAACTCCCCTTGGCCCCATCTAACATTCAGACCAAATTCCCCTTTGAGGTCCCATGGTCGACGGCTGTTTTCTATTGCAAGACGTTCCATAGTGTTTCCTTCTCATTTCCGTTGGTTTTGACCCTTGACAAGTGCCAGCCCCTACTCCTTTCTCCCTGCCTACCCCTTTCAGATGTCACTTTCTGGGACACCCTCTCTCAGAGCCCCAGCCTCCTCTTCTAGCACCTTCCTCTAGCCTTAGTGACCCTTGGATAATAATGTCATCATGCGTCCTAACCAGGCTCTCTGTCTGAACTCACAGTTTTAGAGATATGGTACCGAACCCTGAAACTATATGATAGATAATTCAAGGATGTTTCCAAAATGGTTAATTCCATAGAATTATAAATCTCATTTCTGGAAGGGACCGTAGCCTTCATCTGATGCAATTTTACCTCTCAAAAAAGAAAATTAAGCAACCAAAGCTAGAAATATTAAGTGACTATTATGGTTTCAAAGTTCTGTGCCCTCCCCACTGCCCAAAATCCATGTATCGAAACCTAATCCCCAAGGCGGCGGTACTAGGAGGTGGGGCCTTTGAGAGGTCAACAGGTCATGAGGGTGGAGCCCTTGTGAATGGAATTAGTGCCCTTAGAAGGGGCTGGAGAGACCAGAGCTCTCTTCTTTTTTTTTTTTTTTGAGACAGAGTCTCACTTTGTTGCCCAGACTAGAGTGAGTACCATGGCGTCAGCCTAGCTCACAGCAACCTCAATCTACTGGGCTCAAGTGATCCTCCTGCCTCAGCCTCCCAAGTAGCTGGGACTACAGGCGTGCGCCACCATGCCCGGCTAATTTTTTTCTATATGTATTAGTTGGCCAATTAATTTCTTTCTATTTATAGTAGAGACGGGGTCTCACTCTTGCTCAGGCTGGTTTCGAACTCCTGACCTCGAGCAATCCGCCCACCTCGGCTCCCAGAGTGCTAGGATTACAGGTGTGAGCCACTGCGCCTGGCCAGAGCTCTCTTCTTCCACCGTATAAAGACATAGAAGAAGTGAGCAGGCAGTTTACACCCTGGGAGAGGACCTCACCAGAACCTGACCATGCTTCACCCTCATCTCAGAATTCCCAGCCTCAAGAACATAAAGAAATAAGTTTCTGTTTTATAAAGCCATCCGGTCTGGGGTATTTTGTTACAGCTTCCCAAAAGATCTAGGACAGCAACTGAACCCAAAATCCAATAAAATTACTAGTTGAAAAAGTAGGACTAAGAGTGCAACCCTTGCAATCTGTTTCTCCCCAGAGCCTGCATCTATCCACCTACCAAATGGAGACCAATCTCCTTTGGCTCTGACATTCTCAAAAAAGGCAATACCCAACAGACTGATAAGGAAGGTTCCACAGCACGTACATGCACTACTGATAGTGCTTAGCCCTCAGGGGCCCCTGCTAGAGAATTCGATGAGGAAAGAGGCACCGAACGTGGGCTCAAGAGTCCCCTGCCTGGGTTGAAATTCCTCCTCTGCTATTTCCTGCCTTCGAGATCTTGGGCAAGTGCTTCAGTTTCCTCATCTGTAAAATGGGAACAATCATAGTCCAACCCCATAAGGTAAATGAGGTAACTTAGGGAAGAGGTGTTTAACACAGGACCTGACACCCAACTTCGAAGAGGTCCTTCTGCCAATGCCACTAATAACCTGCTGAGGCATACCTGGTTTATACACATGCCCTGCCCAGGTGGGGGTCATGCTTAAGTAACAGGCTAGGATCGTGTTAGGTTTTCATGACAGCTGGCGTCCTATAGTGCACTCACAAATGTCCTAGGAGGAACAAAGGCACTGGGCACAGCCAATAAATATAAAAATTGCTGAGTCAGGTTCATTTAAAAAGCACGTGGTAATTCCCTAGTAGTTCCGGGTTAATTGCATATTAATTACCACCTTGTTATAGCATCAATGAGCCATACCTTTGATGTGGGAACCTGTAGCAGAGATTAAATGCTAAAATGGACTTCCTCCAGCTGCCGCAGGAAATGGTCCCTGATCACCCATGTCACCAAGGCTTCTGAGAAGAACCTCCGATGTTACTGCTTCTTTAAAGAGCTCGGTAATTACTCAAAGTCTCCTCCAACCAAAGCTTCTTCTAGCGTAAGCATGTACAAAACAGCCAGTAACATCTCCCGCCAGGACATCTATCCTCAAATCCCTTGGATCAAAGTCTTTTGAAATGACATCCTCAGCCTCCTGACCTCTTCTGGGGTGATGGTTTAATTGGCTGCAGGTGTCTTGAGACATTTCCAAGGTCCTGGTCTCTGCCCCCTTCCTTGGCTCTCGGAAGTTGACTTTTTCCACATTTACTGCATTGAAATACAGACCCGGAAAATAAGTGATGTGAGCCCAGCTGAATTTCTTGGTAGAGGAATTTTGTATAACAAGACCATTGGCAAGGTTATATCACTCCATGAAAGCTGTAATTTCCCCGCAATTGATTTCCTAAAGATAACTCACTGTTTGCGTGCAGTGAAAGCTAATTTAACAAGAAAGATGAGTCTCTTCAGAACACCTTGATTGGCAATTGTGATAAATTCCTATAATTACTATTGACTCAGAGGAGAATTTTCATTTGTTAAGATGTTGCTGAAATGACAGCCCAGTGATGGGGTGATGGTTTTAAGCAGAGGAAATGGTAATACCACATGCTGTTCCCATCTTCACAAAAGAAACTTGGAGGACTGACATGGTTACAGATATTTCAGGGAATCTGTGAAGACCTCCACAACTTCCTTGGCAATTCTGTGTGCACGGAAAATTCTCATAGGAGCCATACTTCTTAAATGCAGAGAGTCTGGGCCATCCTCCTAAAAAAGAAATAAAATTGGGCCTGGATCAGTAGTTCCACAGTGGAGGTAACAAAATCTTCGTATTAATGTTAAAAACTGAATAACATTAAAAGTCCAACATTAAGCAATCGGGTAAATCAATTAGTATAAATCCAAGTAATATAATATTCTGAGGCCATTAATAGGATTTTATGGATAGTTAAAGACATAGGAAGATGCCCATAATATGTTTCTTAGTGTCAAAAGTAGCATGCTAAATTACACGTACAAGCCAGGAAGGTGACACACACCTTTAGTCCCAGATACTTGGGAGGCTGAGGCAGGAGGATTACTTGAGCTCAAGAGTTCAAGGCTGTAGTAGTGCACTATGATTGTGCCACTGCACTCCAGCCTGGACAACATAGCAAGACCCTATCTCCAAAAAGATGTTTAAGTATAAATAAATAACATGTATGATATGAGCTCACCTATGGGAAAAATCTGCATAAAAAGAACAGAAAGGAAGTGTGTCCCATATTGTCAAGAGCAGTAGCTCTAGATTGCTGCATGGTGAAATAAACAAAACCATAAGAAAAGAAACTCTACTTTTCAAAAAGTCCAGACCTTTAATAAGGGGTTATCCCCGATATCCATTTGGGTCAACTTATTTGAGAATGTCAAACTATAGAACATCTCTATTTCCTAAGTAAAAACTGTGCTTTGTCTTTCCAGAATGATTTCTCAACTATCATTGTCAGCACCACTGTAACCATGTCAGTAGCATGAACAAATTTCAATGACCCCCCCCCATATGATTTTTTAAAAATCCTCTCCCTTAACGAACTACTTGACCTTTCGAGTTGTTTCCCAGAAATCGTAGGTTTTCTGCAAGAAAAGGAGTTGAGATTCTGCAGGCCCCTGGGCAGACTTCTTGACACCAGGACTTGCCATCCCCCACAACCTGCCCCCGATACCTGCAGCCCCCTTGTTAGTTACACCTCAACCTGCCCCCAAAGGCACGTGGCCCTCCTTTAAAAGCCCATGATCTCTGTTAGCTGGAGACAGATTTGAGGTGGCGTCTCTCCTTCTCCTAACAAGACGTCTTCCGTATTAAAAAATCCCTTTCTTCCTTGACAATACTCGTTGTCTCAATAATTGGATCTTTGTGCGACTGGTGATTGGATTTAGGCTTAAAACCCTTTGTGGTTTTAACAACATCACCTAAAGGCTTGCCCATAAATTTTCTGTGTGTGGTTCTACACAACGCATACAAAAACTAAACAAGAACTACTATGAGCCTTCTAGGATTTCTCAAGCTAAGATAGTCTACCCTGACATGAAGCATAGACTTTCTATATAATTTGCCATACAAATGTAAAGCATTGATAACATTGATCACAATTTTATACTTTTGGTCATTAATATTCCTAAATGTTCTCTTTTAATGAACTCGTTCAATCCATTCAACAATTCTGAGAGACACACGGGGATCATTATTTCTCATCAAAAATGAGGAAATTAGGGGTCAGAGATATGGAGTGATTTGCATGAGCACACATCAAAGTAATTATTTAAACCCAAGCCATGTGGGCTCAAGTGATTCTCCTGCCTCAGTCTCCCAAGTAACTAGGACTATAGGCACACACAAAAAATTTTTGTACAGACTTAACTTTCTATGTTGCCCAGGATGATCTCAAATTCCTGGTTCATGTGATACTCCTGCCTTGGCCTTCCAAAATGTTGGGATTTCAGGCATAAGCCACCACACCTGGCCACTATAGTAAAATTTCACAAACAAATTGTAACAAATTAGTACATTTTGCCTATATTGACACTTTTCTCTTCCATTTAAAAACTGTCTGTTCATCAGTAACTCTCTTTATCAGAAGCTTTTGGCATTTCAAATAGACATATAATTTTTTAGAGTTCATTGTTAAGAACATTAAAAATAAACTTACTAGTTCAACAAATATGATTTTAATGTGCTAAAGAGCCTCAAATAAAATTTTAAATAACTACAAACTGAATTCATTACATAATGACAACATATGATTTGTTTGTTTCTCTTTGACAAGTTTCTTTTTAAAATTTTTAATTGTGGTCAAAAAAACACACAAAATAAAATTTACCGTCTTAACCATTTTTAAGCGTACAGTTCGGTAGTGTTAGGTAGATTCATGTTGACATGCACTAGATCTCTAGAACCTCTCTGTCAAAACTAAAACTTCTTACCCATTAAACGGCAACTCCCCATTCCCCCTCCCCTCAGCCCCTGACAACCACCATTCTACTTTCTGTTTCTATGAATCGGACTACTCTAGATATCTCATATAAGTGTGATCATGCAGTATTTGCATAATGACAAAATATGGTTTTTTAAAAATATGTGAAATGTTGCTTTGCATCAAATTTTCAGGAACTCAAACATTTGGCATTCTGAGGGACATAAACAAACAAACAAAAAATTCAGAAAGCAAACAGTAAATTATATAAAAACCAAGATTATCATATCATGAAAAATGTTCTAGAAGTTACTTCATCTCCCTATGCCTTCATTTCTTCATCTATAAAATGGGAATATAAATGGTACATTCCTTACAGCCCTGTGACGGAAATTAAATGTAACACACCTAAAGTATTTGGAACAGTGACAAGGAGGTATTAAGCACTCAGTAAATATTAAATATCATTTTACATGTATGATATCAGTATCGGGACTACACCATAATTAAAACATGGCGGCCACTCTCAAGGAGCTCATAGTCTAAGAATTTACATGTCACACAACTCAGAACATGGCAGAAACTTGCCAATTATGAGTGAGTTATTGCTTCATAAGGCATCATGCAACAGATAAACAGAATCAAGAAAGTAAACTATATAAAAAGAATAATACCCAACTGAAAGCGAAGTGTGTGGTTACAGCCAACACAACGGCTAGTTCCAGACTGCAGTCTCGCCAAGATTTGCCTCTAATATTCTTTCGTAAATATAATTAAAAGCAGTAGATTTATTTTCACCGTGGGCAAGCATTTAACAAATTCTTACATCTGCTCTGGAATGGCCACCCAGGCACTTTTAACACTGTTACTGTATTTGCCTGCTCTAGAGACATGTCGGATATGTAAAAATGACTGTACTAGTAATAAGAGTGGCCTTTCTCCCCTTAATGAAATTCTGAAAAGCTACAAGGCCCCTGCAAAGCAAACAGGCATTTCTGCCTGGGCGGATTCATCACACAAAAGGCAGCCGACCGTGGCCGACCAGGTTCGCGGCAATGCTGCCACCTGCAGGACGAAAGTGGAATCGCTTTCCTCCGAGGGAGAGAATTTAAAAAAAAAAAAAAATCAATGCCTTGACAAATCGGTGCTGCTCTGTTTAGGTAAATTGTTCTATTATCCTAGCAGCTCAGCACATTATTGAAGTAGTAGTTACCCTTTTATCTAGCTAAACTCACCTGGGTTCGTTTTTTTTTTTTTTTCGGTAGCTTACCCCTTTATTTACCTTGTTTCACTAACTTGCCCCATTTATACAGCAACTCAGCTTTCTGTTTTCTTTCATTTCATGCATTTAAGATGAATCACTTAATGTGGAAACACGGTTTGCAGCATCACCCGGATGTTTTAGTGATGAATCCCAAGGGCAGCCCGTGTACAAGGACACAAAACAGTAAGCGCATAGCAAATTCCCTTTCCTTCTGGAAACGTGGATGTACACGTATCAGATACCTCCTCTCAAGTTTTGTGCATAGGTACGTGCCCAGTCGTACCCACTGGGAGACTATTATAAAAAAACAAAAAAAAGTAGACATGCAAAAAAAAATATTCAGTTCCTTATAGACATGTTCAGACCCTCTTGTGCCCAAAATGTAAAAACACACTCCTATTCGCAATTAAAGAAAGAAATGGAGCAGATTTTGGAAAATTCATGACATAAGCAAAGTTGCTCTTTAGCATTCTGTTCACCTTTTGGAGACGTAGTTTCCTTTTTCTCCTGTTTCCCATCCTCAAAACCTTGTGATGTCAAAACCTTTTGCTTGTCCAGGTTATCCTTTTTTTTTTTTTTTTTTTTTTTGAGACACAGTCTCCCTCTGTTGCCAGGCTAGAGTGCCGTGGCGTCAGCCTCGTCACAGCAACTCAAACTCCTGGCTCAAGCAATCCTCCTGCCCTCAGCCCCCGAGGTAGCTGGGACCACAGGCATGCGCCACCAATGCCTGGCTAATTTTTTTTCTGTATGTTTTTAGTTGGCCAATTATTTCTTTCTATTTTTTAGTAGAGACGCATCTCGATCTTGCTCAGGCTGGTCTCGACTCCCGAGCTCAAACGATCCTCCCTCCTCGGCCTCCCAGAGCGCTAGGATTGTAGGCGTGAGCCACCACGCCCAGGCCCAGGTTATCCTTTTTAGATATTCAATGAATCATAATGCAAAATCGGGGACCTCCCAGACTCAAGACCTGTCCTCATGTCTCTTCGACTGCCACTCACTATCACCCCTAAAAATCTTTCTGTTCTAATTTTCAACTCTTGAATGATCTAGTTGTTTCTGACAAGTCACGTAAACTGAGAGCCAAGTTACCAGGGCTAATTATTTAACATACTGACTACCCTCAAATGTTTGCATGTTGACAGAGGTCTCCGGCAGCCCATAACTAAATTAAAAGCATGAAAAACTGGCCAGGCATGGGGGCTCACATCGTACCTGCACTCTGGGGGGAAGGCGTCTGGCGGGGGATGCTTAAGGTCAGCTTCAAAACGCGGAGCAGGAGCTTAGACCCATCTCTACAAAGGAGGAAATTAATGGCGCAAAAAAAATTGTATTAAAAATTAGCCGGCCTGGTGGCACATGCCTGTAGCCAGTTACTCGGATGGCTGAGCAGAGATCGCTTGACCAGGAGTTTGGAGGTTGCCTGTGGCTAGGCTGCGCCACAGCACTCTAGGGGTCCACTGGGCAACGAGTGGAGACCGCTTCAAAAAAAAAAAAAAAAAAAGCATGCAAGACTGCGATTGTAGGCTCTTGCGCGGGCACAGCTGGGGGCACAGCGCTCACGGGCTGTAATCCTAGCACTCCTGTCGACATCCGGAGCAGGTGGATTGCTCAAGTTCAGGAGGGGTTCGGAACCAGGCTCATCAAGACGCCAGACCCTGGTCTCACCATAATAGAAGACTTATTGCCCAAGCCTGGATACTGATACAGAAAATTAGTCGGCATTGGCGCGATGCTGTAGGTTCCCAGCACCCAGGATGGCAGGGGATCGCTTCGAGCCCAGGAGTTGAGGCTGCGTGGTGAGCGTGGGCTACGCCTAGACTCACTCTAGCCTGGATCAACAAACCAGACTCAGTGCTCAAAAAAAAAAAAAAAAGAATTGTAGGTACCATGGATATACAAAGTCCAGTAGGGGATAGTCATATAGATGGTTGATGGAGGAAACTTAGTTGGCAACCTTTAAATCATATATAGATAACAGCCAGCTATTTTACCTATGTCTAAGGGCTCCCTAAAACACACACACACACACACACACACACACACACACACACACCCAGCCCTCTACACATGCAAAGCGTCCCCCGAGGACAGAAAATATCACTCTCTTGTAAATACACACCCTAAATGTCTCTAGTCACCACTCGTACACAAGAAGAGGGAAATCAGTGTCAGATCCAGTGTCTGTCTGTTCCTTCCACGACTTCATAACCACCTTCCACCCCACAGTGGCTCAGCTAGGCAGACTTTAGGAAAAACATAAATCATCCTTGGCACAAAACATCAGGCGAGTGCCTTCACCATCTTGGGTTAACGTCCCATGACTTGTTCTCTGAGGTTCCACGCTGAACAGCAGGAGGTTGTTCCTTGATGTCAACACGGCCCCACTTAAAAGACTTACTCCACCCGGCTGAAGCAACCCCTACAAGAAAAGAAAACCAAACCTTACTAGGAAAACCATGTAGAAGGACCTTTTGCCAGATGATTTTTCCTTGCAGCTCCAGCAGAGTCTGTAGGATGGAACCTCCTAGCAAAATCACACTGCGGGTGGGTGATTTCAGAGTTTGATCTCTTACGTGCAGATTGACGTTACTGACATATCAGCATTCATGTTTTCCCCCTGATGAGTAACCATTTGTTCACCAACTTTGGATAGATAAGGACAGGATTCATACAAAGATGTTTTATGTGGTTAAAATAACCAACCTTTGATTCCACCCATTTGGGAGGTTCTCAGATCTTCCTGCTCTGCACTCTAAGGTTTGACCATGGAGTCCAGAAGAAAAAGCGTCACTCTGTGTACAGAAACCCTTTACATTAACAAGAAAAAAAAAAAAATGTAAAGCCCAAGCTGTGCATCTGGGCAGTAATCTGCAATAGTATTTACTTGCTATTACATTCTCTTTGGTTTTGCTGCTAGGTGCAGTGTGAGCAGAAGAACCCATTTCAATGTGTATATGGTATTTATTACTCACCTGCCTTCCATTGTGGGGAAGACATGCACAAAAAGGAAGGGGATCCTCGATCTCAAAGCACTTAACCTTGGTGTGGTAACTTACTTCCCCGGTTCCTATCCGGCTGAGATGGAAAATTCTAGAATCACAGGTCACAGTTGTGGTCAATGACTGCATCATAGGCCCATGAGAGAAATCACAAACTACTACTGATAACTTTCCTCCTTTTAGAGTGCCTCATTCTTTCTAAATGCAACCTTGACTAGAAAATACATCTGAAGCCAAAGGCTACAAAACCTAATTAGCAGCTGAAGGAGAGCCTTTGAAAAGAATTAGAAGACAAAGTAGTCAAGTAGACAGCCCATCTCATTAGACTTGGGGGAAGGCTTAGTGAACATTTATGTCCAGCTTGCCATAAAATGCAAGTTAAATGGAAATTTATCCTGTATCTTGTCAACATAAAGTTGTTTCTGTCCAAGAATGTTTACTGAGAATGGCCAAGAGCTTTCCTGCGATATTGAAAGATTTGTTTTAGTAGTCCCAGATTTAATTGTTGATTTGTAATTCTGATGCTATGGGTGTTTGTTATAAGAGACTACATTTGTTACAATGTTTGCCATGGCAAACTGTTAGTTCACTAAGGTTATAAATTATTTTTGTCCCAGAAAGCTTATTTTAACCACCTACCTTGTGGCAGTGAATTCAACTTCTGTGGCCTTACCAATTTTGTTGCTTCATTTGTATTATAAGTGAATTGGCATTCCCTGTTAATCAAAAATCATCAAGCCTTGTTTTTAGGCTTTTTCCCCTATGGTTTTTTTTGTTTTTGTTTTTTGTTTTGTATTTGAGCAGGTCTCACTGCTGTTGCCTTGGCTGTGGTGCCCGTGGGATCAGCCTAGGCTCACAGCAACCTCAAACTCCTGGGCTCAAGCCATCCTCCTGCCTCAGCCTCCTGAGTAGCTGGGATACGCATGCACCACCATGCCAGCTAATTTTTTCTATATATTTTTAATTGGCCAATTAATTTCTTTCTATTTTTTTAGTAGAGATGGGTTCTCGCTCTTGCTCAGGCTGGTTTCGAACTCCTGACCTTGAGTGATCCACCCCCCTCAGCCTCCCAGAGTGCTAGGATTACAGGCGTGAGCCACCACACCCGGCCTCTTTTTGTTTTTTAACAAATCTTTTGTATTCTAGAAGTTTTATCTCTGAAACAGAATTTACGTTTTTAAAAATTTTTGTTTTGATTTTTTTTGTTTTTATCATGGCTAATATTATTTTTTTTTTATATTTTTTTTTTTGAGACAGAGTCTTGCTTTCTTGCTAGGCTAGGAGTGAGTGCCGTGGCATCAGCCTAGCTTGCAGCAACCTCAAACTCCTGGCTCAAGCATCCGTCCTGTGCCTCAGCCTTCCGGAGTTGCTGGGACTACAGGCACGAGCACCATGCCCGGCTAATATTCTTCTCTATGTTATAGTAGAGACGGGGTCTCACTCAGGCTGGTTTGACTCCTGACCTTGAGCAATCCGCCGCCTCGGCCTCCCAGAGTGCTGGATTACAAGCCTGAGCCCTCGCCCGGCCACATGGCCTATATTATTGCTTTGGTAATATTCTCTTTACTTCTCAAACTGATGAAATGATGTCAACTCACCCCACTCATCTCAGGCAAATCAGGAAGAACAATTGAGCTGAACATGGCAGCTCGTGCCTGTAATCTCAGCACTTTTGGAGGCCAGGGTGGGAGGATCACTTGAGGCCAGGAGTTGGAGGTTGCAGTGAGCTGTGATCAAGCCACTACACTCCAGCCTGGACAACACAGTGAGACCCTGCCTCCCTAAAAAAAAAAAAAGATTATAGTTGGCCCTTGAACAACACAGTTAATACCTATATGGGCTCAATTACGTGTAAATTTCTTCTGCTTCTTCACCCTGGACAGCAAACCAGCCCTCCTCTTCCTCCTCTTGTCAGCCTCAATGTGAAGATGAAAAGGATGAAGGCCTTTATGGTGATCCACTTGCACTTACAGTAAATATGTTTTCTCTTCCATGTGATTACCTTAACAATATTTTCTTTTCTCTAGCTTACTTTGTTGTAATAGAGTATATGACACACACGACATACAAAATATGTGTTAATAGACTGTTCATGCTCTCATTAAGGCTTCCAGTCCAAAGTAGGTTATTAATATTTTGGGGGGAGTCAAAAACTTTTCAATGGCAGGGGGTTGGCACTCCTAACCCCTGTGTTATTCAAAAGTCAACTGTACTCATCGAGCACTGAGAGTATACTTTGTCAGAACATTTATAACAATGAACATATGTCATTTTTAAAGTTTAGAGTCCACGTGCCAAGAGTTAATTGAATCACACTCTTCATGGCAGACTATTTTATATATTCTATTTCTATTTCTGTAATATTTCTATAAAATAGAAATATTGTCTATAAAAAGCCTCTCTTTTTTTTTTTTTTAGTTTATATTCACTTTTATTTTCATTCCTCACTCCCATTTGCCTTCCCACCCTCCATATAGCAGATATTCTAAAGTGGTTGCTATATATCCTTCTGTCTGAATGTGCTCTAGTGAAAATGTGATTTAATAATGTATTTAAAGATAGTATGTATTCTGAGGTCTCATTGGTGTTTGCTTCCGTCTCTCACAGCATGCAGGTTTTAATTCTATCCATGTTGCTTCAATATATATATCACCATATATTTAATATAATACATATGCACACATATCTCCTCTCTCTAGTCTTTTCCCTTCTAAACATTATGTAGGTAGTTACAATGTACCTCCTCAATGCTTTACCAACTCACCTCGACTGGCGTCGATTGCTCAGATTACCTGTAACCTCCCATTTGTGCAGTTATCCATTTCTTGCCCTCAGCTCCAAATTAACCAATTATTGCCTGTTCTGCAAAAATGAACCCTGGTCCCTTTTAATTTTTTTCCTTTTGCCAGCAGGCACGAATATTCAGCTTTGTCAGTAGAGTAAGACAGAGAAACATTTCAAGAGTTTCCCTTCCGGGCTGCGGTGTGATCTTCATCCAGCTTCTGAGGCACAGACGGCTTCCCCAGCCAGCAGCACCAGAAGGTGGGAAAGCTGTCCCCAGGACCAGCCCTGCTCCAGTGAGGTATTTCAAAAACATGCCACGCCCCCACCTCTTGGCAGAGCTCACAGCTTGTCCAGCACGAGGCTCCTGCCACGCACGGTGGCTAGTGGCAGCAGCAAGCAAGTCCCTAGCACCCCTCCTTCATGCAAACTTTTGTAGCAAATGTTTTCCATAAGACAATCCCCACCCATGAAAAGCATTCCCAGCACCCTAGGGGGTAAATTCTGGCAAGTTCTAGAGGATGATGTCCAGCCAAGTTACACTGGCATCCGACGCCACCGGGTGACTTTTCTGCCATCTAGTGAGCTAACCTCTCCAACAAGCTCTGGTTCTTGGCTCTAGGAAGGGGCAGGGATCCATTTTCTTGGGTGCTCTACCTCAGAGCTAGAGGTATGACTATTTCTCATATCTGCCACTCCCTTGTTCCTTAGAGTCCCCTACTTCTCACTAACCAATACTACATTACTCCAATGCCCTGTTATAACAGAATTCTTTGTATCCCATTTCCCTGCTCAAAATTGTACGTGGCACCTTTGTCCTGATTAGACTCTGATGGATATATCATCTTCCCAATCAGTAGTGCAATAAACATGTCCCTTTAGGGACTTCAAATTTTCCTTAGGGCATATATACCCCAAAACAGTTTCCTGGATCGTAGGGTAAATATTTAATTTAACCAAGTACTTCCTGACTACTGTTTAGAATAGCTGCACCTGTCTACACTTCCACTAGCCAGGCATGCTGGTACTTTTCACCTATGTGACCATCAACATTTGACATCCCAGCCTTCCAATATTTCCTCCTCTAATGATTGTAAAGTGGCATATTATTTTTTTTTAATTTTGTGTCTCTGATTATTAATATCTCTTTTTATGCTTGACCTTTCAGGGTTTCCTTTTCTATAAACCGCCTTTTCAAATCTCTTGCCTCTTTCTTTTATCAAGGTTTCAGATATGTTCTTGTAAATTGTAGGAATTCTTTGTATATTCTAAAAAATACTCCCTTGTTAGTAGGGATTGTTCTGCTATAGTGCATGTGCTAGTAAAGTCTCCCTTTTGTTTAAGTCCATTTGAAAGGGGTTTTGTGTTATCTACAACCTGACTTACCACATAGAGGTGAGTTAGAAGCCTGACCTACTAATCATTCCAGAAGAGATACTCCATATTGATACTCCATATTTGTTTTTTAACCCCCTTAAGTTTCCTTTATTGTGCACTAAGGAATTTTTCCTCTTTCTTATCCCTATGCATCACTTATATGGTTCTTGTTTTGGTACAATTCCCCATAATATTCCAGAATGTACTGTTTTGTGAGCAGACTGAAGAGATTTTTTGCTTCTTCACATCCAGTGTGGAGTTGTAATTGGAGACAGATTTCCACCCACAAAAGCTCCAGATGTTAAAACGTTTCCCAACATCGACTTAATACAGTGACGGCAACACCTCCCTCCCGCCCCTCCCAGTAGGGTTGGGATTGTACTGTATTCCCTACTGGTTTACCCTTCCCCCCTGTAAAGGGTAACATTTTCCCTGGGTGCAGAGGCTCCCTCATAGTCTCCAAGACCGAAGGACCCCTAATTTTGGGACTGCAGCTTAAGTGTATTAGATTAAACACCATAAAAAGCTGCAAGACGCTCTTTTAATGGAAGAGGAAACTGGTCAGAGAAACGCCTCCAATTTTCATCCCCAACTTGATTTTTAAATCCATGAAGGATCTTACAGAACATGTCTCTGAGATCATCTTTTGGGTTAATCCATGATGCAACTGCATCACAAAAAAATATAAAATCTTGGATTACGCCACTGGGATTCACACTGATCATGGTACAAATCCCACGGAATGCGGAATCCTTTTCCTCATTGTCTCTTATGTTTCTCAGCTATCTCTTGTGGGAATTTCAACCTCAGTACCCATATACCTATATCAGTTTCCCCAGATTTAGGAGGATCCAAGCACACTACCTTGGAGAAAGGCTAATCACTCACTTTAAAGTTTTTCTTGGGCCAGG